TGGGAATTTTATTGTGCATGATATTGAAGCAGTGTGTAATTAATACTGTTTCATCAGAATGGTAGTGAAAACACTGTGCGAATTAGTATTACTGGGTTTCTGGACTTGTCCATTATCTTGGTTTTCTGAACAGAACATGTTTTGAAAACTAGATCTGTTTTGAATCCTAAACAGTGGACAAAATCCATAAAACCAGTGATACAAATTGTGATTTAGCATTGTCAGAACCCCCTTGTGTCAGCTGACATGCAGTATTATCACTTATAGTTACTATACCTTTATGTAATTTAATGGAGACCATAAATTTATGCACTATTAATGAAAAGTAATTATACTAAAAAGTCTTAGCCTTCATATTCAAATAAGATTTTTCATAGTTTATAAAAGTACAAAATCAAAAATGTGTATAAATTGTGTTCATGGAATATTATATTTGTGTCTGTCAGTTTTGGTAGTGAAATAGTCATTTGTTCTCAACTCCAATAGCAATAATGCAGTACCTTGTTTCTTATGTGACTCAAGTCCAAAGATGGGTGACCATGACCTTCAACATGGCATGTGATAACATCACTGGCAGTGGTAATGTACTTCAATGTTGTAGCTTAGTATGAAAAACTTCAAATACATAGTCAAAGAAATAGGATCTAGTATACTAAAACATTCCATTCATACTCTGGTGCACAAAAGATTTATAGACTAATCTGTTTTGTCTAAGTAATTACTTGATTAGAAACAATGGCCTTGAGCTTATGAACTGGTACTGCTACAGTCCAAACCCCCCCCACATTAGTAATCCTGGTAATGGGATAATTTTTGTTATGCATATGTGACTACCTGAAATTCATCTCAGAATATCAAATAGGACATGTGATTTCCTCATTAAAACAAATTAAAATTCAACTGTCAAAGTATCTATGAGGTCTCATCATCACTAAAACCCAATTTATACCTGAAATCACAGATTTAACACTTTGAAAGCTAACAGTGTCTGAGAGATGGTCAGCCACTTTCTCCAAACAGCTTGAGTTCATAACTTGACAGTCACAATATTTAAATAACTCCCATGGATTCTTCAGTTTCATGTATAAAATACTGAGCACATGTGCCACTTTTCTGGATGCCATCTCAAAATGCAACCAGTGTTAATTACAGATATGAAATTTGTGTATTGCATTCATCAAGAGATGTGTATATAAAGGATTTCACAGAATGCTCTGTAACAGTCTGTTGTAAATACAGTCTTTGATCTGATTTTCCAAGCCATTCTCATACTATACACTTGGTTAACGGTGACACAGATTCTAGTTTCTTGCTAAACCACTGTGAAAGGTCCTAAAGAAAAATATGTAATAAAGACAAAACCCCTTGCTGACATTTTGCAGTTACATATGGCAGTATTGATATTCTGTTCACATATTTAAGTTTTGCACATGCAGAAATTTTGCTGTTCCATCCTATTTTATAATTTACTTTGTTTCAAATTACTTTGAAATCCACTTAGTTAGAATCAGAATCTGATTGAGTTAGGTCAATGTGATAGTCATAACTTTGGATTTCTTTCAGATGAACATTGATTTGATCACTGAGAAATAAAGAGAATATTTTTATGAAGACTTAATTACACTCTATGTTAGTTGTACTGATGGGATTTCATAAGCTTATGTTAAGCTTTAACATTTTATAGGAAAATAACTGACAGGATTTGCTTTCAAATCCTTTAAATATTTTGATACTCATTTTTCTATTCAAGAATAACTTGTTTATACCACACCAATCCCACAGTATATATTTAGACAGTTTCTGCCCCAAAGTTTTTAATTTTGAACAATACATTTCAATAATGTAGTTCCAAGAGGCCTATTTTTATATATTTTTTTTAAATTTTGGTGCTATCCATTTATATTTGATGCCTAATTACAATTTAAATTGCCTATAAATACCTTTAAATACAGCTGCCAGTTCATGTGTGTATCAAATCTCAGAAAACTATACTGCAGCCTCTTTTGATAGATTTGTGTATGCAATGTAGCAACAAGAAACTGATACTGAAAAATGAAAAGAAAAATCAAATCTTGGACTAATATTTACAGTTGCAATGTAATATATTTTGTACTTTATGATGTACTTAGTAGTTTTGTTTACTTAATATGGGATGAAAATGTGTAATAGAACAATAAAGGGTTTCATGGAAATTTGTTGTCATTTATTTATTTTAAAGTTCTATTATCTCCCAATTCTTGTATTAATAGAATATGTCATAAGACTATAAAAATGCACAGCTACATGTGATATACATAAAATGCATACATAGCCTAACCTTAACATAATCAACTTAAGTATCATGTACAAAGGTCAACCAGTATATATAATGAAGACTATTTGGATCTGTGACATTTGTTTCATGGTATCTAAATACAAGATAAGATGAAGATATAGGATTATTACCCTCTGAAATCCAGATAATCTTCATATAAGTTGAGGTACATACCTGCCTGAAAACTGCCCCTGCTTTGTGACGGTGTATTTGCCTTCCTACATATTTTTGTGTAAACACTGTCACAAAAGTATATAAACATTATAACAGAACTGGTTTCCACTGGAGTTCAATGTTCTTGCCATCTGCACTTTTACTTCTTGCAATATCCTTTCCTTGTATGCTTTTTCTCCTTTCTGGTCTAACTGGAGGTCCCACTAGATAGCTCTCTGCAAGTTCTTTCACCAACTGATGTGCATTGTAACTATAGTTTAGTCCCCTACTTGCTGGACTGGATGACACATTACCAGTAATCTTACTTACATGTGGAGACTGACTTATCGCAATGTGCCTCTGTGGCTTTGGAGGAGGAACAGACAATCGAGATGAAGGTGGAGATACCTGAGTACTTTGGCTTGTGCATCCTCGTGGTAGTGGTGATGAGTGTGTTGGACTTCTTTCCTGCATTTCAATACAATCTATTGACAGTGAAGTTTGAGTCCCAACTTCACAAGCATTTACTGATTTGCTGTTCCCACTGTTACTCTGATCACAGGGTGCTACTGTTATGACCTTGTGTGGACTGCCAATTGATATACCAGAATGAGAGGATAAAGTGGCTAGATGTGACAACTCTGGGCAAAATGAAGTTGACCCATCTGAAACACCTGCAATGTGAACAAATGGTTTGAAGTTCATTTTTTGTGGAGGTTCATCAGCCGATTCTTCGGTAAGATATAATTTCTCTTCATCAGGTATGTTCCTGTTTCTAAAATCTCCATAGTCACTTCTACACCTCTTTGTCTCTGTGGTTCTAACTCGGTGTCTGTTGTTGTCTACACTTTTGCTCTGACCATAACGCAATTCAGTACTTGGTTTCCAGAAACTATCACCAGCTTTCTCATTGTCATTCATGCTGACAGTTTTATCATGACAGGTTTCTACATTGTCATCCATTTCAAAGCTCCTCCTACTCTTTCTTTTGCTACCTGAGTTATCATTCATACCATTACATCCATCTGTGTTCAAACTGTTTGGCATTCTTACTTTCTCATTTTCCGTCACAGACCCATCACTGACCTCACCTTCACTTTTGTTGCTGACTTCTAACAGCATCTCATTAGCATCTCCATGTAGGATAACATCAAATTTCTTGACTGGTCCAGAGATCATCTCATCGCAATTTTGCTCATCTTCGCTCAAATCAAGACTTTGGCCTGGGAGAGCATATGGCAGACTGACTTTTGAACTGTCCAGACCTGCATTACCAGCTCTCCTCTTCATTAAATTTGGAATAAATGATGGGATATTTGTGTTGGCTAATGTCAGAGCTGACAGGATCTGTAATACCACAAAAGCTTGTGACATGGAGACTTCACATACATGCATAAATATTACTATATACAAAAATACATACACATATTCTATCTTGAATGAATCTCAATCACAGATGACTCACCTGTGCTCCAAGCTGACTTTCCTGTGATGTTGTGCTACCTCTGCGAACAAAGAGTGGACCCACTCGGCTGTTTCGACTACGTCCAAACTCTCTCCTATGTCGCCTATTGCGTGTTTTTCTGCCTCTACCGCCAGATACTGTAGCAGCAGCTGCTGTAGGCATAGGAGTGGCTGCAGCCTTTCGCGTAGCTGTCATTTCAGAAATTTTCACAGACACCTGTGAATCCAATGAGTGGCGACGTGATTCCACAGACACTCTGTAAAATAAAAGTGATGTCCTTGAATTCAGACTATAAAAAGCATCAGAAATGCAATGTACTGTATTTTAAAACCAAATTAATAAGCCTTAACCCTATGAGGCCAAAGTTGAGTCAACCAGTATATATAATGAAGACTATTTGGATCTGTGACATTTGTTTCATGGTATCTAAATACAAGATAAGATGAAGATATAGGATTATTACCCTCTGAAATCCAGATAATCTTCATATAAGTTGAGGTACATACCTGCCTGAAAACTGCCCCTGCTTTGTGACGGTGTATTTGCCTTCCTACATATTTTTGTGTAAACACTGTCACAAAAGTATATAAACATTATAACAGAACTGGTTTCCACTGGAGTTCAATGTTCTTGCCATCTGCACTTTTACTTCTTGCAATATCCTTTCCTTGTATGCTTTTTCTCCTTTCTGGTCTAACTGGAGGTCCCACTAGATAGCTCTCTGCAAGTTCTTTCACCAACTGATGTGCATTGTAACTATAGTTTAGTCCCCTACTTGCTGGACTGGATGACACATTACCAGTAATCTTACTTACATGTGGAGACTGACTTATCGCAATGTGCCTCTGTGGCTTTGGAGGAGGAACAGACAATCGAGATGAAGGTGGAGATACCTGAGTACTTTGGCTTGTGCATCCTCGTGGTAGTGG